TAACCCTCTCTTTCCATGTGTGATTGGTTGAGCCATCTGCAAGTGTCCTTTTCTTCACGGGTTGGGCAGCCCAGCCCCAGAAGGAATGCTCTTTCCTGTGTTCAAGTGGCCTGCGTGCCAGTTGACCCCCCCCCCGCCGCCCCACCAGCCAGAAGCTGCGTGCTCACCTCTGCCTTCTCAGAGGCGCTAGAATTTGTCTCTGTTCCATTTGTAATGCACACAGGACTGGGCTATTAATCATGCCACAGGCCAGGCTGCATAGCGCCTCTGGAATAATGAATTACCCAGCTCCTGCCAAAACGAGGCACACCGTGGCCACAAAGGAAACTTATCTCTCCCTGACTCTCTCCCCATCTTGTTCGTCCCTCTTCCCTTTCTCATCTCCTGTGATCTGTCTTGCCAGTTGTAATTGGAACATTTTCTCCCATATTTAAGTTCTGAAGTGTCTTTGGGACTTGCTAATGTATCCAAAGGCTTAAAACAAGTCCCGTCAAGGACGTTTATTGCTGTCTAGCATAGGCAGTTAAGCATAGCTTACAAGCAGCTCTGGGTATATATGGCCAGGAATATAAATGTTCCTTTTGGAAAAGAGGAGAACCCGGGGTGGGGGAGATATATATATATATATATATATATATATATATATATATATATATAATCCTAATGGTGATATCAAATGAGGGCTTAAAGAAGCAGCAATTTCTGGCCTGGTCATGTGACAGAGGGTACAAAGGACTTGGGATGGTGTGACCTTTGGTTTGAAGGGGTTGTTTTGGGGTTTGGGCAGGGAAGCTGCCTCAGAGGGGAGGTGAGATGATGTGTCCTGAATAAGAGAAACCTCTCTCTTCACTGACTTTTCCTGCTTCCTGTGGGGCAAAACCAGGATCACCTAACAACTGGGGCCTCTCCATTTTCCTACTGTTGGAATATGTTCCCTCAAATTATTGCTGTATACATATTACCACTAAGAACGTTTCTGGCTGTTCTTATGTCTCTTACATCATCAGAAATCTAGAGGCAGGCTGTCCAGGTTGGTATAGTGGCTCATTGATGTATTCAAAACCCAGGTTCCTACCATTCCGCCCTGTCATAATTAACTTATTGACTTATTGCCTCATGGTTGCAAGATGGATGCTGTAACTCTGGATATCATGTTTTTATTCAAGGCACTAAGAAGTGGGAAAGAGTTGTCAAGACACCAGCTGTATTTGTCCCTTGTATCAGGAAAAACAAAAGCTTTCCCTGAAGCTCCCGGAGGATGTTCGCCTGTGTTTTATTGGCCAGAACTACGACCTGTCCTTACCTGCCCTCCTTAGCTGCAGGGAAGTCTGGATAAACAAGCTTAGTTTTCCTACACTCTGAGAATGCCTGTGCGGTTAGCCAACAAACAAAGTCTGCCACAACCAGAGAGAGGGGACACATAGAAGACTGTATTGGGCAAGCACAGGCAGTCCCACCTAACAGTAGAGAAGAAGAAGATTCCTATGCTGGAGCTCACTGTGCGCCCGAGACTGTGCCAGGCAGCAGACCTGTGTGCGTGCATGTTGCAGTTAGCTCTGTTGTACACTGAGGAAGCTAAGCTCTGAGCAGTGTTCTGCAGGTAGTTAGGAACCTGGCTTTGAATCCAGGCCCATCTGACTTCAAAGACTATTCATGCTGCCTCTGGGAAGTGGAGGCCAGTTTCCTAGCACTGGCTTTTGGGGTGCCTCGCTGAATCTCAGCACCTTCATTGCGGCTCTGGCACCTTCAGTTACCTGTAAATGAATTAGGAATTTGGAACAATTCTTTTATGGGCCCCTCATAGGTTTTATTTAAAAGATGAATACTCAGGTTTTTATGTCATGATGACAGTTAAAAGAGAAGTGGCCCGGGAGGCCGGAGACCCAGCTCTGCTCCAAACCCGGTGCTGAGTTGCTCTGTGGTCTTGGGGACGTCCTTTCCCCTTGTCTGTGAAATGGAAGGTTGGAGATGCCCTACAAGGAGTCTAACAATCTTAAGACACAAGTTTTGCTCCTTTCCGTCATGGGTCTTTGATCTGTTCATTCATTCAACGATTATTCTTAAGTGCCTATAGTATGTGCTGGATGCTGCTCTAGGTACTTGGAATATACCAGGTAACAAAACAAAGATCCCTGCCCTTGTGGACCTTATGTTCTATCTAGTCTGTGTGCGTTGGGGGCAGGGGACACAAACAGTAAACACAACACATTATAGATTAGGGATGAGTAAATTACACAGATGTGAGAAGGTGATTCGTTCTCTGGGGGACCAAAGTGGGAAAGAGAACAGGGTCTGGTAGGGCCAGGGGAGACATTCAGGGGTCTGCAATGAGAACATGGCATCTGAGCAAAGACTTTATTACGGAGAGGAGGGCGTCAGCCAGCACACCATTAGGGTCGTGGCTGCAAGCAGAAGGGATAAGCTAGAGCAAGGCCTCGGAGGCAGACGTTTGCCTGGATTTTCTGTGCAGTTTTTCCCCATCTGAGGACTGGCCTGGAGCTCTTCTCACCCCAGCCCTGTCATTTCCTTATGGAAGTGTTGGCCTTCAGTTGGCTTTCAGACCAGTTCAAACTTCCAGGAGTTGAAGGCCACCTAAATTTGACCCTGCTGTGGCCCTTACGGACAGAGAGCCTGGCCACCACCTCTATATTAGCACCTCATTGCATATGACAGGAACACTCGATTTCTGGAGATGGAGGGAAAATGGTAGAACCACCAAGTCCTAGAGATATTGAAATCCTATCAAAATAGCACAGCCCACCATATCCAGACAATTCCTGCTGTGTTTCCTGTTTAATGCCTACTGCACCATAAGTGACTCAGTGTTTTTGTCATGTTCTCAAATGACTGCCTGTGTTAATCAACCCTAAAACCCCAGGTACGGAAGACCTGTGTTTCCTGCTCTACCAGTTACTGCTCCTGGGTCAGCCTGTAATAGTGGCCTGGGCCTTCCCCATTAGCAGCAGAGGGGCCTCCCTAAGCAAGGCCAGGAGTCCACAGGAAAACTCAGTCACTTGCTGGGCTGCGCAAACTGTGTGTGTGTGTGTGTGTGCGTGTGTGTGTGTGTAATGACAGGAGGAATATATCTTGAAATATAACAAAGAGAAAGGGTAAAAGTTGCCTTCTTGAGTTGTGTTCCATGCAGAGAAGTGACTTGGGATCTGAGAACAATGGTATCATGCAGGTGTGTTATTATCCCAAGTTGAACTGAGAATGTGTATCATGTGAATAGACTGATAGGCTCATGAATTAAACCCCCCCCCTGGTCCTAGTACAGGGTTAGTGTGTGCCCTGGCCACCTACTCTAAAGTAGATATGACACTCCAGGCAAGAGGCTAGACCCCCCTGCAGAAAGCCCCCTCCATGTATGTGCGGGTCTCTGTCCAAATACTGAACAGGGCTGGGTGTCACTCACAGGATACTGAGAAGTTTAGTTCTGGGTAATGGCTCAGCATGGGTTTCATAGTCCCTTTTCTAGGTGTATCTCCTTTCTTGTGGTCTTGACATTTGTTTGATGGGAATAGCAAGGAAACTTAACTTTGATTTCTGTAATCTGCGTGAGGTTACAGGACAGAATTTGGAATACCATGCAAAATTCTGGATATACTGAAAATGAAAGGAGGATGAAAGTCTTCATCAGGATTGAACCAAATTCCACATTGTGTGTCCTTACCAATCTGCTGGGGCATTGAAGCATCAAGCCTCTCTTCTGGGGTTTCCTAACCTGGTTTCTCCCTTCTTTTGATTTGCTCCCTCCGGTGCAATACTTAGGGACAACTCAGTCATACACGCAGAGTGGAAGAGAAGCATACTGTTGCAGCTGCAGATTGCACAGGCAGGGGTAAAGGCAGTAGTCTAGAAAATTCTGACAACAATGTAAAAGTCAGTCTTACCATAAGAAAGAATATAAGGGTACAGGCTCTCTGTTTTACATATTGTCTCCTTACAAGATAGGCGATATTGTTCATTCATTCAGCAAACATATCAAGCACCTCCCATGGTGCCTGGCTCTGTCCTGGGCACTGGAGATATATCAGTGAATGCCACCACCCAAAAGTTTCCCTGTCCTCATCTTATTTGGTTAAACAATCTGAAATCGCTGTCTTTGTAGGTCAAGGCAATCCACTAAATATGCATCTACTATATGATTCAGCCATTCCACTCCTTGGTGTTTACATAAAAGAAATGAAAGCATATGTCCATACAAAGACTTGTACATGAACGTCTGTAGCAGCTTTATTTGCCGTAGCTTCGACTGGAAACACTCCAAATGTCCATCCACAAGTGAATGGATAAACAAAGTGTAGTAAGTATATCCATACGATGGACAGCAGTCGTCAGTAAAAAGGAATGAAGTCCTACTACACACTGCAACAAGGCTGGACCTCAATCCATTATGTTCATGAAAGAAATGGAATGATTTAATGTCTATAAAACTGCAGAAGATGCAAACTAATCCATAGGGACAGAAAGCAGATTGGTGGTTGCCTCGGAGCAGGAACTGGGTAGGAGGGGAGACTGCAAAGGAACAAGTGCAACCTTTTGGGGGTGCTGGATATATTTACAATGTTGATTGTGGTGATGCTTTCACAGGTGCATACGTCTCAAAACTTGCCAAATGATACACTTTAAAAATAAGCAGTTAATTATATGATAATTATACCTGAATAAAAGTGTTAAAAACAGTCCAATCATACCAGTTTCGTATGGTTCGATCCATAGATAAATTTTGGTGATCAATTAATTTTTAAAACCTCATATTCATTTTTCACATATTTACTGAAAACCCACCATGTGTCAGATCATACCGTGAAAGACGTTACCCATGAAAAGAAAAAAATAAAAATAAAAGGCTGCCCCTGCTTTTAAACTTCATGGGTGAAACAGGTTTGTAAAGGAATGGCTTTCCTACAGGGAGTTGTGGAGCAGTTACCCGCGAAGCAAATTATTCTTTGTTGCCTGCATTTATGCATGTGTGTGTGTGCCTTCGTCTCTTTCAGAGTGACCTGTGGTCTTTGGGAATCACCGCTATCGAGATGGCAGAAGGTGCTCCCCGTAAGTACCTACCTCTGGGTGAGATCTGTTGCTGGGCTGCTCTCTGCAGGTGCCGAGCCTTCTTGCCCGTGCCAGGGTAGCTTTCCTTCTGCTTCGCTGAGCCCGGTGTGGGTTCGAGCTGGCATATTTAGAAAGCAAAGTCACCTTAGCTCAACCAGAACCCATTCATTTCAGAGCCGTGTGAGGATCCCGTGTTTAGAGGAAAAAAGAAAGAAAAGGGAAAGGAGTTTAGGGGATCTGGTTTGTTTGACAGATTCCACGCGTCGTTTATTCTTGAACTGCTCTTTACCTAATGCAAAACTGGGGCCAACCCACAAAGTCTGTAAACTCCCAACTTAACAAAAATCCAGAACTGATTCTCAGTGCGCGACTTACGCAAACTCTTGTACTCGGTTGCTCTCACCCCTAATATAATACTGCTGTTTAGATTTTTAGGTGGGAGGCCGAGCGGCCAGGGCTCCGGCCATCCGGGGAAGGAAATGTCTTGCGCTCTGGAGCGTGGGTGCTGCCGAGCGCCTCCGCCAGGCGCGTGCTGGCCATGACCATGGGCTCTGCGGACTTCCTGCAGGAAAGCGCAGCTCACCAAGGGTCTGGCTGCAGCAGCAGCCCCCAAGCCCTGCCCCCACCCCACCCCACCCCACCCCACCCCATCCCATCCCACCCCACCCCACCCCACCCCACCCCATCCCACCCCATCCCACCTCCTATTCAGGGTCCTAGCGTGGCAGGGATATAAGGCAGACCTTTTTTTTTTTTTTTTTAAGATTTTATTTATTTGACAGAGACACAGTGAGAGAGGAAACAGAAGCGGGGGCGGGGGGCAGTGGGAGAGGGAGAAGCAGGCTTCCTGCCGAGCAAGGAGCCCGATGTGGGACTCGATCCCAGGACCCTGAGATCTTGACCTGAGCTGAAGGCAGACGCTTAACGACTGAGCCACCCAGGTGCCCAAGGCAGACCTCTTTCTCGAAGACAGGAGATGCCTTCGTAAGCAACTCTCACTCCTCAGTTCCACCGCTTGGTTTCCTCAGGCGGCAGGACAGTCTAGCACACTTCCACCTACCTTGTCTGCCTCTCGCTTTCACTCCGATCAGACTTGCAGAGCAATGTGACAGCTCCGCCAACCTGCCCTGGCCCCCTCCCCATGCCTTTCAGGCAGAAATTTCCCCTGGAACTATTCTCATTTGGTTAGTGCAGCCTTGGCGTCCGCTTTCCGGAGAACCTGAACCCCAAACGGCCCCCTTCTGTGCATGGCAGGTCGTTTGGCTCACATGGCTGTTTATCTTCAGGTTATCATAGCCTTTGTATTTCTCACTCTAGAGTTGGTAGAATTCATCTGTAGCATGATTGATTTGGAGTGTTTGTTGACAACATTCCCCTCATTGGCAATGCTAATAGGCATTTATGAATCCAAAAAATCATATATTGCAGTCTGAAATATTATCCTCATATTATCATCCTTGATGAGTAGTAGAGGGGGCTAAAAATAAACTTCTACCCACAGAATCTTTTAGCTTTCGGGGAGAATATATCCTTATTCTGGGCACAAAGGAAAAGATAGCCCCGGAGGTTTAAAAAAGTAAACTAGTGAAATATTTTGATTAAAATAAGAATGCATGAGTGCTTTCTCTATAAACCATAGTGCCATGTTTACAGGTTGAGATATTTTAGTAACTTTTCTACCAGACCCTCTTTGCGTCGATCTCTCTGTTCTTCCTGGGGCCAGTGAACAAACAAACAAACAAACAAATGAACAAAAAATGGAAACGAACCTGTCATGAAACCTGAAAAGCCATCAGGATATTTGGAAATACAGAGAGGAAAGTGGTCTGGTCGAGTGCTTTATACTCTAAAAAATCTATGTAGATAGCATTGCGTGTGTATGAGCCTTCAGTGTATAAGAAATAGACCATCTTTCATTTTATGACTTAGGCTTTTGCTAATTAAAAATAACCTACCGTCTCCATTGTAGTTTTTATCTTGATGTTGTTTACTCTGAATCTGAGATGGTTATTTATAGCAAAGCAAAGGCTTTGACCCTTTAACTTAGTTTTCTTAAATATGAAGTAGAAGTAGAAATGTTAACAAGGTCCAGTTGAAACGCATATTTTATGAGACTTCTGTAATGAGACATCAGCTCTCTTAAATGCTCAGCACACAGAAGCTTTGTGATCTTCTGGCTTAGCTCATTGGGCATGTGTGGCCTCAGAGCCATTTGGCCTAGGTTTGGCCTCCTAACCTGAGCTGGCCCTTGCTTTGGTCTCTTGCAGCTCTCTGTGACATGCACCCCATGAGAGCCCTCTTCCTCATCCCCCGGAACCCAGCGCCTCGCCTGAAGTCGAAGAAGTGGTGAGTTTGGTCTTCTTTGGTGCTTTGTCGATCCGAGGGGAGGGTTTTCCTGCGATGCTCTCTTGGACGAGCTCAAATCCTTAGGTCTAGCTGCATGACGAGACCAACATATACTGAGACCTGGTGAGTGATTTTCCATAGGCTGTCACTCATCTTAAAGCACATATTAAGTACCTACTATTTGCTCTGCAAGTCTTTATCACCATACCCTTCAAGGTAAGGAGGTATTAGCTAAAGTGAGTGGTGGAACCCAAGTAATAGCATGAAAGCTCTTTGATTTATCGTCCTCCCAAGAAATATCTTGCCTGGCAGCACAAGACATCTCATCAGAGGGGGTGATAGTTCCAAGAGTCAGCCGGTTAGTTGGGCTGGCTTTTCTTCTACTCCTTAAGATGGTAAATCTGTGAGTGCCTACACATACCTGGTTATATGAGGGATGATTTCACTGGTCTGTGCATAAATATTTGTAATATTTGTTTTTACTATTGCTTTCCCTTTATGGCATGTGATATTGGCTTCTTATTTGGGGCAGTGATACAAACTTCCCATTTAATAAACTTATTCACTTAAAAAAATTTGACCTAATTTAAAGAAAAATACCAAGTGGATGCTAGGATGGATGATGCAAAAGTCCGGTTAAAAACTGTGTTGGTTGTGGGGCACCTGGGAGGCTCCGTCGGTTGAGCGTTCTGACTCTTGATCTCAGCTCAGGTCTTGATCTCACGGTCATGGGTTCAAGCCCCATGTTAGGCCCCAGGCTGGGTGTGGAGACAAACAAACAAACAAAAAATTATGTTGGTGGTATACGATTGACTCAAGTTTGGGAAATACAGTTCTATGGTTAGACCAGAAGTTGGACTTTTGTGTGTACTTACAGCGGGATCTTTGTACCTTATTGCATAACAAAAATCCATCGCTCCTTTCTTCCCCCTGTGTATATGGTGTTTCCTGATACATCCCAATACATCCTTGAATCTGATTGCCCTGGCCGGGGGCCAATTCCTGGACCACTTATGACCCCCTCTGTTTTTCTAGAGACGTATTCTGGGCAGTCAGAGCATGAAGGCTCGGGACCTTTCTGCCCCTTTCCGTACTTCATGATCACTTCACGATCACCCTTGCTGGGACTCATGTTCCTCCCCTTCCCCACTCGCAGCCTCACCCTCTGCAGTCGAGATTACTACAGTCACCTAGTAGTGACATGGCAACGCCGGTGTGACAAGAGAAAGGCACACGGCACAGAGAAGAGAGGGAACCAGCCAGAGGGGACCGGCAGCCCTGAGTTGCCGAGGCCTGCCGAGGAAGAGCTTGAGGGTTGCTATGGGCAACAAGGGGCTGAGCAGCCCTGCTCCTCCTTCTCACTCTGGAGGGTCACTGTGTGAGCCTGCTGTTCTCTCCCCAGCAACAGCCTCCCATTGGGCCCCCGTACGGCACATGACCAGCAGGGCCTGGACACAGGCTCTGTGTGTGCTTCCTCCCTTCTCCCCGGAACAGGCTCCCCGGGAAAGAATCCAGCTCAGTTCCCCCCCCCAACCCCGGAAAGCACCAGGAGTGCTGCAAAGCCCTCTGCCAGCTTGCTGCTTGTCCTTTGGGCCAAGCCTCCCTGCCCCCCGCCCCCCAACACACACACACTGTATACGGTGGGCTTTACTTACCCTGTGCCCTCCCTCCCTTGCCACTCCCTGCACTGCTGCTGGACAGGAATTTCCAGGGTTCAGCCCACAGAGCACAAACTGGCCATCCACACATGTGTTACGTTTGGTCAGCACAAGTGGCCACACACTGTGTCTCAGAAACATTGGTATTAATTGCCAACTTTTAGAAATCTGGTGTTTGAGCATCACATTCAGATCCTGGGCCTCTTGTGCAAAGATGCAGCACCCCTGCCCAGCCGAGTGGCTCCCTTTGAAGGTACCAGATGGCTCTTCTGCCCATCGCCACCTCTCCCCAGCTCCGAAATTGGTCACTGCACTTGTCCTGTTTTCCTCTTATCGCCTTTGCGTGATCTCTCTGTCTCCTTAGAAAAGTGAATGAACAGCCCCTGCACTGCAGTTTTAATTTTCATTGACCCCACTCCCAAAAAGATCAACTCTGCATTGACCTTGTTTGAGAGTGAGGAGAATACAGGCTGACTTTTCTGCTTCAAACCTTTGACAACAGAAACTAATTCTGGCGGCGCTGTCAGGAGCTGGGTCAGTCCAGGGACAGTGAGGAAGCCAGGCCTCCATCTCACCCAGCCTCCCTGACTCTGAAGGAAAGCCCGTTAGGAGTGTGAGTTCCACACTGCCGGACAGAGAAGGGGAAACGACTTGGCTGTTTGAGAGAGTGAGTGGGAAGACAGAAGCCCTGGTGAAGAACTCTGTCTCGCTCAGAACCTGGCCTTTATAAGATGGCCATGCAGCTGACCCAACCCCCCAACCCCCAGGCCATAGGACACAGGATGTGGCTCCTAATTCTCTGCAATAGAATTCTACTTCGAAATAAAAAAAAAGATTTTTTTAATTTATTTGACAGAAAGAGCAAAAGCAGGGGGAGCGGGAGCGGAAGAAGCAGGCTCCCCACTGAGCAGGGAGCCTGACACCGGGCTCGATCCCAGGACCCTGGGATGACGACCTGAGCGAAAGGCAGATGCTTAACCGACTGAGCCGCCCAGGCGCCCCAATAGAATTCTACTTTTTAAGTGAAAATATTTAAGCACTGCAGAGTACTTTCTTGAATTACCAGGTCCAAAGTGATTTGAAATAAGTTAGGGTTTCTTAATCTCAGGAAACAAACTGAAGATTGCTGGAGTGGTGGGGGGTGGGAGGGATGGGATGGCTGCGTGATGGACACCGGGGAGGGTATGTGCTATGGTGAGCGCTGTGAATTGTGTAAGACTGATGAATCACAGACCTGTACCTCTGAAACAAATAATACATTATATGTTAAAAAAAAAAAGAAGAAGATAGTAGGAAGGGAGAAATGAAGGGGGGAATCGGAGGGGGAGACGAACCATGAGAGACTATGGACGCTGAGAAACAAACTGAGGGTTTTAGAGGGGAGGGGAGTAGGGGGATGGGTTAGCCTGGTGATGGGTATTAAAGAGGGCACAGATTGAATGGAGCACTGGGTGTTATATGCAAACAATGAATCATGGAACGCTACGTCAAAATAAATAAATAAATAAATAAATAATAAAATGTAAAAAAAGAAAAATAAAATAAAAATGCTCAAAAAAAGAGAAATAAGTTAGGGTTTGCTTTAATATGCCCTAGTGTTTGGGAGGAAGTGAAATATTTTATTTATTTTCTTTTTATTTTTTAAGGGAGAGGATCCCTCTTCCCACCCATCAAAAGAAACAAAACTCCAAAATGTTCTTTTTATATCCAGCTCCTCTCTGCCTAATGAATTATCAGAGGAAATACACTGTTCTTAGGGTATATATCAAAGTACTGCCAAAGGGGGGCACCACTGTGGTAGAAATGGGCCACGAACTCTTTATGATAAGCATTCAGTTGAGGGTCATTTCCAGCTAACTTGCTAAACCTACAACATACAGGACATAGAAGGCATACGCATGTTGCAGACTCAGTAATTTATATATGTGTGTATATGTATATATTTATTATATAGATACAAATTTAATCTTAACCACAACCCCACCAGGCAGATGCTTTTAGTCCTCATTCTGTAGCTATAAGACTGAGGCTTGGGTGGGTCATGTTCCTTGCACAAGTCTGTACAATCTTTTAGTTTCCCAAGTTTGTAACCCCCATTCTCTTTACTAGATCATCTGGCCTCTTAAGTTCAAGGTTTGAGTGTTAGAGAATGGGGTACTAGTCTTTCAGCTGAACATTTTTTTCCTGTGCCTTAATATTAGGGAGAGAAAGGCAGGAGCACTGCTCTTTGCCCCTTTGTTGTTGGGGGTGGGAGGAAAGCACCCCCACTCGCCAGAACCTGGCCCTTTCCACCCCCATCAGCGAGATGAGGAGCGGCCTCAGTGCCGAGGAGGTCATGTGGTCAGGGCTCCAGTCAATGCCCAGGTGGCCCAGCCATTCAATAATGAGGCCTCTGGGAGGATTCTAACCTCAGCTGAATTAGAGGCCAGGATGCTCTTGGCCTCTGTCTGCATGTCACCATGGGCACATGCGCAGTAAGGTGGGACTCCCATTTCCTCCTCCTGTCTCTAAGCATGGCCAGACCCCCCCACATGGGTCAGCCATCTCCTTCAGCACATTCCCTCACCTTTCTCTTCCTGCCATGTTCACCCTGGCTGCCCTGCCCTACTCAGTGCTATAGTCTCCTGCAGGAGTTTCTGGAGAAACTCGGGGAGGACTTCATTCCTATGAAAGACAGTTGGTCTTTTTCTTTTCCCATGCTCTTTAAAGGTGAAGTTTCCGCACAGGCAAAGAAGCACTTGACTGAGATCATTAGAAAAATCGTAAGTGCTTCCGGGTATTCTAAAAATTTGATGAATCACTGACCTCTACCTCTGAAACCAATAATACACTATATATTAATTAATTGAATTTAAATTTTAAAAAATTTAAATAATAAAATGAATAAATAAATCTTTAAAAAAAAAGAAAAATCTTAAGTGCTTCTCAGTGGAAAGAGACGTAATGTTCCCTGGTCCAACCCACTTGTGCTCCAGATGAAGACCAGTGGCCTGGTGAAGTTAACTGGCTTATGCAGGGTCCCAGGCTCCTCACCGCTAGAGCCAGCCTGGAACCCATGCCTTCTGCTTTCACTCCAAAGCTTATAGTCCCTCCTGCTATTCTATGAAACACCAGTTCTGATTCTTGGTGGGTTGTCAGGCACTGTTCTTTGTTGTTGTTGTTGTTTTTTAAAGATTTACTTATTTATTTTAGAGAGAGCATGAGGGGAAGAGGGAGAGGGTGAGAGAGAGAAAATCTCAAGCAGACTCCTCGATGAACATGGAGCTCGATGCAGGGGCTCGATCTCACGACCCTGAGGTCACGACCTGAGCCGAAACCAAGAGTCTGACACTCAACCGACTGCGCCACCAAGCACAGACACTGTTGTTTTTTAAGAAATGACAAAACTATTTGGGGTTGTGTGTGTGTGTGTGTGTGTGTGTGTGTGTTCTAAATGAAAAAATAATAATAGAAAGCAAATATCAGAAAATACTTCAAATTAACTGAATTTGCTAGTAGTAATGTGACTTTGGACTTTATTAAAATCAAAACAAAAATTGCTGCCCAGGTTTTTAAAAATTCTTTTTTGTGTGGTCTCCTTGGAGAGAGTGGTCCCATTGACTCTTCCTCTACCATATCTAACCCAAATATATGTGAAATAATTCCCTTTAAGAACACTACACTATTCGGTTCAACAGAGGCTGAACTTCACATTTCTACCCCCAGCCCTAAAGGCAGATAGATACTCCTGTTGTTTAAGCCTGGTGATGGTCAGAGGTCGCTGGGACCTTGTCATCATCGTGATAGTAATAATCATAACAACAGCAAACATACATACAGCTTATGTTTATATACATACAGTTTAAGTCCTAAGTATTTTACATGAATTAATTCACTGAATCATCACAGCAGTCTTTTGAGATAAATCCTACAATATCACCATCTGCAGCCAGGGGAACTGAGACGCAGAGAAGTTAAATAATCTGCCCCAAAGTCACACAGTTAAAAAGTGATAGAGCCCAACGTAGAGAGGAAAGGTAGTTCTGGGCAAATGCAAATTCTAAAGCTCAAAATTACATTTAGGGAGTCCTGTGATTATCAAAAACTTTTAGCCCGACTGGTTATAATGACTAATGTAATAATCTTTCAGGCATTTTTAATTCCTCTAACACAATTAAATATATAGGCTGAGAAATTCTGGGAAGATACAGTGTTTGGTGAGGCTGGTATTAGAACCGGGGCTTCCAACTGTAAGCACCAAACATTAACATCTGTCTGTCCAGGCCAACCCTGGGGAAATTAGTATTACTAATCTTAGGCATTTCTTTTTAAGAGACAGAACTAAATTACCGGCAGCAGAGATGCAAACAATAAAGTTATATAAATGTACTTTAAACCCATTACACAACTCGGCAAACAGTCAAGTGGTGTTCAACATAGGGGAGGGGGTTTTACTTTTAATTAAACGTAATTAAGCATATTGATTCCTTGGTCGTACTAACTCAAATAAGAGACAATGAATCTTTCTTCGAAGATTTGTTTTAAGGTAGCATTATTCTCTCTTCAAATGGTACCATTTGAAGAAGACATGAGATACGTTGCCAGCTTTATGGTCCTGCACATCTTGGCCCAACCTTTGGACCCAGAGTTATTCTCCTGAATATCTCCGAAGGTTCCTTCCCACTGGAAGAGATAGTGGAACGAGAACTCTGTACCACAGCTGGTTCTGCTGAACTCTGAACACTCTCTCCTCCTAGTTGCCACTGCCTTTTTTTAGATGTCAGTATTGGGGAATGGAATGCACAGTTTATCAAGTCTGGATCTCATGTTTAAATTGGATGTGATTTCTTTTATTTATCACCTTCTAATTAATAGTTGAGCACTTTATAAAAAGAAAGCACTTCCTTCTAGTCGCAAGCAGGAAAAAAAAACAGCTTTTATTTGCATTGCTAATGAATATTCAACAGCTCCCTGTCTTAATTTGTTTTTGTTTTCATGTTCTTGATACTGATTTTCTACCTAGAAAAGTGCCATGTGGAACTTGTCTATTTCTTTATGCAGGTTCACCTCGTTCTCTTCCGTTTATTCCTTAGGACAGCCCATTATTCCATGATGGATTTTTTTCACAAAGTCTCTCCTTAGGTGATATCACATTTGTGTCTCCACAGATCTGTCTGGTGGGCCTGAAAAAGAAAGCATATTCAATATTATCTCCACTCCAAACCTCCCTGTCTGTCCCTCACAAGCACACATTGGAAGCTAGCCATTTCACACACACTTGTCCAGAACTCACATCTGATAACCATGCGTGCATTCATTTGTTCCTCAAGCATCTGAGGGCAGGTAGGGTGCTCCGGCTACAAAGATGACTCAGGCACACTGGACACTGGAGACCGCCCATGTGGAGGAAGCAGGGGTACAGGCTGAAGGACATGCAAGAAGGTGCACAGAGTGTCCACCCTATTATTACTGTTTTCCACAGTCCACAGGGTGGCTGATCCTGATTGATCCTGGGGTGACCCCCAGCATAGCATGCTACATCTGCTTCTATGTAAAATAATTTGAAAGCTTGAACTTAGCTTAGAAATTTAGGGAGGAAACAATATGAATGATTCAGTCCTTTAAAAACATGGAATAAAATGAGAAACTGCTTTGACCAGGGCCGAAGTGGAGAGTGGTGCATCTGTGAGTGCCCTCTTACATTGAGTGCCCTCTTGCATTTGAATTTTAAAGAACATGCTCACCATTGTGTTCTGTGTGATGAGGACATCTTTCAAGCCTGAAATCTGTGTGGAGGGGGGCCTGCTGGCGGACCCAGGGAAGCTGGCTCCTGGGATCCGCTCCTGTTATTCCGCAGTGCTCCACAGGAGGGCGACAGAGAGCACAAAATGGATTCCCTCCTGCTCTGAGCAGAGTGGGTGCCGCAAAGAGGGTGACCAGAGTTCCCCTAAGGTCTCTGAGGGTGATGTGCCAGGCTGCCAGTGGGGCACACCAGAAAGTCATGCTCTATAGTCATGAAGTAATTATTTATGATACTGGGCAATTTCTTGGGCCAAAACATGCATGCCCAACTCGTGAATCATAGCCAAAGTCCACCGTTAATTTCTACCACGGCGTGGACTTGCTCCCCTACTCATTACTATGGTGTCTCTCCTCAGCTCTCCCCTGCCCTGTGACTCTCCGGCACAGGGTTTATCTTTGGGGAAATAGTGCCTTTCTAGAGGGAGATAAGTGCACGTCTGGGTATGAACTTAGTCCCTAAGTTTCCAAGTCCTTGGGTTGATAGCAAACATACACATACACTCTGTTCTTATTAATTGGAGAGCAAAGTTCAAAAGTAATTTTGAAATTACTAGTTAAAAAATTTGCCTAACCAAGTTCACTTTACCAAGTAAGAATCTTTCTCATTTCTACAAAACGTACTCCTCCTTACCTAGCCAACCCTGATTGTGCTCTCCCCCAGCTTTCATTTTCTGCCTCATTTAGACAGCTTACCTCAGTGTGCCCCGACGTATAGTGTGCTCAGCCCCAGCCTTAGTTTTTCACTATTTCCTGCCTCCCTGAACTGTCTTCCCAGAGTGATTTCCTCTTCATTCTTTAAAGCCCAGCTCAGGTACCCTCATTACAATGGACCTTCCAGATGTGACTCTCACCAAGGTCTTTCTCTTCTCTGATTCCTTTTGGTCTCTTGTGTGATATTATATATAAATTGTGCAAAAATGCTTTTATGCGTGTAACTCCCGTACATTGCCTGAATTGTGTGTTGATGGTGATGATGCCTTTGAACCCCATTGTACTTAATAAAGTTCTAGACCTATTTTGTGATTGGTTGATCCCTGTGTTGACTAATTGCACCTATTTTCTTTTTTTTCATTGTAGTGTCTTAGAAAATGGAAGTTTGCTTTTTCTTTGGATTGTCTTTTTATCTGTGGGTTCATCTCTTTCACGTGGCAGGTCAAAAAAATTCCAGTCATTTATTGAGAGCTGCTTGGTAAAGAATCACAGCCAGCGACCAGCAACAGAACAATTGATGAAGCATCCATTTATACGAGACCAACCTAATGAACGACAGGTCCGCATTCAACTCAAGGACCATATTGACAGAACAAAGAAGAAGCGAGGAGAGAAAGGTTAGAAGCACATTTGGATTTCAGCAAAGGAAACAAAAGATGGAGTGGGTCATGGGCTCTTGATATATTTGGAGGTGACCGTGGGGGTTTCAGGTGGGCCTGCATTATTCTTTAGTGTGAAGGGCTGCCTCTGAGCTTGCAGCCTATAGGCATCAATGGAGTGAGACTGTGAAATGGAATCTTCATGAAGGGTTAGAACTGTAAGGAATATTACCTTTTCCAGGCACTGACAAAAAGTCATGTTGAGTAATACTATGAAGTGGTTTAATATGACAAGTGATTTTCTTAGTTTAAATGACTATTCATGTTTTGAAGACTAAAAACCGACAGAAGACAACCTAAAAACAACAACGATAAAAAACCCCACTTAGTCGACATTTTTCTTTCCCGGCAGTCTTCAACATTTAAGTTTTTGTGCTCTGAGGCTCATTTCAAATTTATTTCAGAAGTCAGAATGAATTTTCTTATAGTCACAGCATCACCAGGCTTGATATATGGAACATTGAACTTTGAGCTGGAAGATCGTTTAATGCGCTTCTTTATTTTATAGAGTCAAAAGTCTTATCTCTTATGGCTGTAGCTGTTGTACCACACTGTCTTTTCCGTGCATCAGTGGAAAGGACATGAGGCAAACTTGGAGCCCTGGGACTGTATCCTGGTTGTTTGAACAGAGACTCAGACCTCCTTATCTAGCATCCTGACCAAGGAGAAAACTCACGTGGTCTGGGGCAGGTCTTGTGCCTAGGTGGGTGGGAGGTACGGAAGGTTGAGGTATGGGGAGGAAAGGGAAAGATCCAGAGGACAGACAGGGTGAGTCCCACTGGTTGGAGGCAGGAGGAGCAGCGGGGTAGGGGGGAGGAGGGATGACAGTGAGGAGGTATTATAGGGCTGGAGAGGTGAGCACTGAGCATGTGCAGAGTGGAGGGTAAAGGGGAAGGCCGGGCAGCAAAGGTGCGAGGCACATGGCCATGTGCCTTTCCTCCCTTCTGTCCTGGACACCCTTCTCTATTCTTTCCAAGCCAGATGGCGCATCAGAGGGTGGTGGGCAGCACAGGATGGAGGGTGCTCTCCTTCTATTTGAATTCCCCTTCTTTGCTTCTGCAGTTACTGTCTGTAATGTGTGTGGCGAGGTACGAGCAGGTATGTGGGGTGGGCGGTGAGCAGTGTGAGTCAAGACTGGGCAGAGGTAAGAGCAGCAGGGGGTTGAGCAGGAGGAGAAAACCCCAGTGAAGGTTCAAGGGAAGGGTTTCTTCCTGGCTGCCAGTCTCGGGAACTCAGGGAAATGTACGATCAGTTCGACTCAGGAGTAGGAGGTTATGAGGCTAAGCCAAAAAGGAGGTCCATCACCTGAACTAATGAAATAGTGTATGTCAACTATACTTCAATTTAAAATAAAAGATACACTTTTAAATGTTTGGGGATCAAACTATTTTTACTTCATGTGCTAAATAGGAAATGAAGTTTCATTGCCTATTTTGATTGAACATAAAATTTTTACAGCCCTGGAAAATAAATATATAAATAAAAACCCCCTTGAACAAAACAAAACAAACAAACAAAAAAAAAGGAGGCCCATCTCCAGTTATTTGTGGGTGGAGAGGGATGAGGTGTCTGTCAGGTGATGCTGGGAGGGGAATTGAAGGAACCAGAAAGAACCAAGCATGAGAGAAATAGGTAAGTCAAGATCAGAAAGTTCCAGGCCTGGGCCTGGGGGGCTCGGTCAGCCAAGCGTCCGACTCTTGATTTCAGCTCAGGTCATGATCTCAGGGTCGTGAGATCGAGCCCTGTGTTGGGCTTCACGCTGAGTGCTGAGCATGGAGTCTGCTTGAGACTCTCTTTCCCCCTCTCCCTCTGCCCTTGCTCCTCCCACTCCTCCAAAAAAAAAAAAAAAAAATCCAGAACTGATTTTTCATCAAACACGCAAGCATTAAAGGCTGACTTCTCTAAAAGGGAAGTTTCTTTTTCTGTGGGCCTGTTGCTTCCAGATTCAAATTCTGAGTTCCCATTCTAGCTCTACCCCCTGAATAGGTACGTGAACTTCATCCCAGTTTTCTCATCTTTAAAATAAGAGAGGGGATATGATAGTAATCCGTATCACCCAGTATTGTTGCAGATCAAATGAGATAAGGCATTAAAATGTCTTAATACAATGTCCGGCATATAAACGTACTCAATAAATATTAGCTATTTTTATATAAGAAGTTCTTTATTGACCTATAATTTTTCAGCACGATTCAGAGTTACTTTCTGAGAACTCGTGACCTCTTTGCCTTTGACCTGTGAATAGAATGGGTAAAGCTTGTGCCTTGGGTTGTTTTCACATTTGGGGGGCACAGATGCTGGAATGTGACTCAGAACTCCCATTCTATGACAATAGACTATTTTTAATATGTTCTTTCTCTGCAGAGTAGAAGTGTAAGGTTCTTGGTAGGAGATGAACTAAAGAGTGACCTGGTAATGTAAGGAACCTAATTCCGTTTAGGTTTAGAGCCATCAGAAGCCTTCTGCTTTGCTCCCCAGAAAGAGTATCGATCAAGCGAGGGCTCATTCCATTTGCTCAGTTTCATCAAATGACTTAATTGACTTCCTCTAGGACTTTCACACTCTCTTAGTAGCTCTAAGACCAGCTTTTGGTACAATCAAACAATTTTAATGAGAATCGATTTATGATTTTTTTAACCTGATACTATTTTTTCCTTAAGATATGTTGACATATGCTAATTTATGCCAGTAATATAAAAGCAATGAGACCAGATTCAGGTGCAGTATTACAATTGAAGGGCCTGAAAAATGAAGGTTTTACCCTAGAGAGTAGAAATATTTGGATTAGTTGTGTGCTTCTTTCCCTTGCTAGAATTTCCCTTTGCTAGATAAAATTTCTGCAGTTTACTTCAAACTCTCTGTTGATTCATTTCAGGAAAGTTTGGAATAGTCAGCTTTCAGTGTGGAAGAGTGAAACACTTTGTGAAGGTCCTTTACATTTTGGTGAAATAATACTCAAAAAAATAAATAGCCCAAAAACTTTGTGCATATCTAAATATTTGAACTTAACTTGTGATTTTAAAAAATATACTTGAAGTCACTGTGCTTTTGGCTCCTTTTCTTTTTTTTTATTATGTTCAGTTAGCCACTGTATAGTACATCATTAGTTTTTGATGTAGTGTTCAATGACTCATTAGTTAAGTATAACACCCAGTGCTCGTCACAGCATGTGCCCTGCTCAATACCTTTTCATTATCTCTTTACTGGCTGAAGAGTAGGGAAGGCGGAGTGTTTAGTTCTCGTCATAGGTGCTGCCTCCTTGTGGTAACACAACCAAATTGCAGTTTTGGTTCCTTTTTAAGACTACGCAAGGGCCTTCAAAGTTGTAATTACTAACCCACAACTATGAAAGGATCACAGTAATGTGACCCTCCCTTGCTCAAAATTAAAAGCTCTTCCAAAATTCCCCATTGCCCACAGAAAAGTCCTCAGCAAGATATATATAAGGATCAAGAAGTCGTATCAGATGTGCTAGGCTTACTCATTCTGTCTTTTCTCACAGCCAGACATCTAGCCATTCACAATTCATTGTGAACATGTCATGCCCTGTACTACTATCAGCCTTACTCACGTGGTTATGTTGCTTAGAATGCCCTTTCCCACCACTTTCAGCTGCCATCTGTCTGGAACAGGGTCACTGACATTGCAAGGCCCAGCTCATTTCCTCCTCAAAAGACTTTGCTGGCCCCTTCCCCCATTATGACCAATGGACTTTGCTCCTTTCTCTATTATCCCATTGCTCTTTTTATAGATTTCTATTTAGCATATAATATGTTGGAAAGAACACTAGTTTTAAAGTTGGAGAAGTTCTGGATGGAATTCTAAATCCAAATCCCAGATTGATCGGTCTTTTATTAGTAAGCCATTGGTCCTGTCACCCTCTTGTAATAGCGTCTTTGCTTGAAAAGTGGGTAGTATGCTAAAGGATTTTAAGCAAAATAAATGGGAGAACATAAGTAAAGTATCTAGCAGGGTGACTAGCATGGGAGACACCCAATAAAGATTAATTTCTTAATAATCATGGCAGATCTGATTACCTACTTGTCCATCTCGCCCATTAGATTCTGATCTCCTCCAAAGCAAAGACTCAATCTTATTCATTATTACGTGTTAACTTGCTTAACATATTACTGAATTAAATGAATGTCCCCGGTGGGTCATTTAACTCTATATTTCTAATAGCACGCGCTGTCAAATTTCTTTCTGGTGTTTATCGAGATATTTAAGACAATTCGTGGGTCCATGTAAGTCATAATAAAACTCTTACTTAAAAAATGATTAATACAGACAGTAAGTGAATAGTGGGCCCATAAAGATTGGTTTAGATAGTCCTCTAATGGGAGTTAACACAAACCGAACAATTATTCTTCAGTTCCTTCTCATTGAACAGCAGGCATTAGGGACAGATATCTCGAGTCAGCTGGAACAGTCTTGGATGTGAGTTGCACGTTCTCAAATCCAGCTCAGCTGGTGGGAACTATTATACCACAAGTCAGGAGGCCTGGAGCCTGTCCCAGGTCAGCATTAATGACAACTCTTTGGGCCTCAGATTACTTATATATAAAACGAGGGGGGTGGGATTGGCTGAGCTGTAGCATCTTTTTGTGCACTAACATTCTGTGAGTCTCTCTTTAGATGAGACCGAGTATGAGTACAGTGGAAGTGAGGAAGAAGAGGAGGAGAATGACTCGGGAGAGCCCAGGTAGGAAAATAAAGGCCAAGTCTTCTTCTCACGTTCTGAATTGTGCTTGTGTGAAACTCACTTCCTTTTGATTTATAGGTTCATTTTTAAGAATCCAGCAAGGTGGTCTTATTTAATTTATTGCCCATGAACATACTCATTAATTTGGGAAAATGTCCCCAGGCACACTCTTACAAAAACGTGGAAATCAGCGTATTCTTTACCTTGTCCCCTAAGATTTATGGTCTCTATTCTAAGACCTTGTTTCCTCACATATGTCACGGGTGGAATGGGTAGGAGGCAATTATCTGGGTAATGCAAGACTCAAAGGACCTAAAACTACAACTTTCAGGAGACCTAAGTGGTATTTTTGGACTCGAATTATTCAGTTCGTTACTTCATACCTTTGAGAAGCCCATTTGGGCAGCCACTGTCCTTGTCACATGTCTTGGTATTTTCACCACAAGCTCATCCAAGAGGAAATGGTTTCCAGGAAATCAAATCACACTCTAGAGGGGAACCCTAAATAGAAAATTTCTTGCTCATTCCAGTTGTCATATGTTGGACTCCAGGATCAGTGTTGCTTTGTTGTTATGACCCGTGCGTTTTGAATTTCACTTGACATTGATTCCAACTTCTTCCAGTCTGTGTATGAATAATTAAGGTTAGTGTGCTCACATTGCCAGGATTTCTCTTCCGTGAGAGAATTCAGCTGGTGGCAGTTTGGTGAGTTGAGTGGCACAGGCACACGCACCATGGTCAGTGTAAGTGAGATTTATTGGGGAAAACGCACTAGCGGGAGGCTCACTGGGGAAATGGGTCCCCCTCCTCTAGCCGTCCAAGGAGGGGACTCCAGTGGTCCAGGAGGAGAAATTCCCATACCGCTGAGGCAGAGCTGCCTGCTCAGGAAAGGGGCCAGCTCCGTCGTCCCTGCTAGAACAAGCTAGTGGCTTCTTTTTCTGAGTTAGATACAAAGCTGGATTATTGCTAAACTACTGGAAGATGGAGGGGCTTATGGGGCCGTCCAGTTTTTCTCTGCCCCTGATACAGGAATTATCAAGGTCAAAGACTGAAGGAGAATTTTTCCTTCCATCCGATGCTTTACACATTGGCTGCCCCCAGTTTAGCTGCATAAAGATGATGTTTGTCAAGTAGTGACACAGAAAATGAACGTTCTTATAAAGGCAGAGAGCCAAGTGCCCTGCTCTCAGAGAAGTTGCGTCCTCTTCTTCTTTTTCCAAAGCTCACCCAGATGTCATGTCCGCCCTACTGACCACTCTCTATAGGACTGAGAAGCCCTGTTTTAACTAGTACTTGCCAAACCGCGTGTCAGGAGTCACTTAGAGGGCTGACCTAGCCATGCCTTAACACTTCGATAATTGTAACGTATCATAATATCACATTGAAGATTATGTTCCAAGTCCTGTCTTATGGACCCATGTAATTAATCTTCATGAAATCCTGAAAAGTAGAAAGGGACAGTAGTCATCTCATTTTAGAAATGGGGTGAGAGCCCAAAGAGGGCACCCAAGCCACACACCAATGATGATTGAGCCTCTACTACAGCTCCAATCGCCTGGCATTGATTCTGCATCAGTTTATATTAATGGAGACTCCTCGTGTGCGTGGTTCCCCAAGTCCTGCTTGTGGCCTGTGTACATAAGCACTGTCACTTGGGGTTTGTTTTAGTGTTCTACACAAAAGCTGTGAAGTTTTAGAGGAGGCGTGCTCGTGGAATCCAAGCACTGTCTGTAAGACCTCAAGAACGAAGCCTTTTTATGTCATTTTTGGGCATAGATGACAGTCACACTGCACAGTGGTTACACTGTCCAACACAGAACAATCCCCTCATCAACTGCCACTACACCTGCTCCCCGCCCCCCATTTGCTGCCCCAGTTGGCATCACCACCACTGTCCAGGTGCCAAGACAAAACCTGCAAGTCATCGCTCACCCCACACACCGCATCCATCAACCGGCTTCGTTAACTCTGCCACCAATGTTTCTCTCCTCCTCTGTCCGCTTGCCCCGCCCCGCCCCACAGAGCCACTGCCGCAGCAGCCCAGCTGGTGGCCCTCTGCGGACAGTTGTCCCTAGGCAGCCAAACAAATCCCATCACGTCAATGTCCTGACTATAAGCTTTCCGTGCATGTTTTCCGTGCCCCGTGGCTCCCCGGGTCCGCCCAGTGTCCCTGGCCTCCTCCCAGGCCACCTCTCTCCTTCACTCTGCTCTGGGAAGTCCTCGGAGAGGCCCCACCTGTTCCCACCACAGGCCTTTACGTTTGCTTTCCTCTCTGCCTGAAAGGTTCTTCCCCTACTTCTTCGTGGGGCCGACTCTTCATCATTTGAGTCTCAGCTCAGTCTGGCACCTTCTCAGAGAGGTCTCCCCTGATCACCCCATCTGAAGCAGCACCTTAATCCCTGTCCCAGCCTCCTACCACTGTCACTCTTAAACTGTTACGTCTTCTATGGAGCCTGTTCGTATGTGAAATTATGTTATTTGCAGCCATTTGTCTAATGAATATCTGTCTCTCTTCCCCGCAAGAAGATCATGAGAGAGAGTTTTATTTTTTTAAGATTTTATTTATTTATTTGACAGAGAGAGCAGCGAGAGCAGGAACACAAGCAGGGGGAACGGGAGAGGGAGAAGCAGGTCTCCCGCTGAGCAGGGAGCCCGATGTGGGACTTGATCCCAGGACCCCGGGATCATGACCTGAGCTGAAGGCAGACACCCAACGACTGAGCCACCCAGGCACCCGAGAGAGAGTTGGTTTAGCTACTGCTCTATCCACTAGAGCCTCTTACAGTGCTTGTGACATAAAAACGGCTCACTAGTTATTTAATGGATCTATTTCAAGTGGAAGTCGCCAGCAAGATTAAAAGGGCTAGGTTTGCGTGAACAAATAGGAGCCTGCCCCACCTCCCTGTTAGGCTGCTAGGCACAACCAAAGAGTGTAACTTTGAGCTGTTCACATGCAGTGAGATGTGAATAGAGAAGCCCTAGACCACCAGGGACACACACATATGCACATGATGCACAACTACCATTTTACGGATGAGAAAACTGAGGCCCACAGTGCTTCAACGGAATCTAGAGATCCGTGAGCTGGGTTGAAGTCCTCGCTACACCATCCGTTCCAGAGCCAAACCATGTCACTTCCCTTTAATCGTGGTGCAGTGAAACAGCTCTGAACTCTCAGATGTGGGTTCATATTCTACTCTGTGGTGACCTTGACTCTGATGTTTTCCCTCCCTGGCTTATCACGTCTTCACACGAGCAGCCTGTCATTTGCCTCCTGGGTCTGGGTGCAAGGCGTCGCGGAGGTGATACGGGGATGGTGATGTCCTCTTAGTAGAACACATTCCCTTGTTGCTCCCGGTTGTTCCTTTCATTTGCTGGCTTTGTTCATGCCTCTCTTAAACGTGAAAATTCAGCTGATCCAAGCCCTAGGGCTCGCACGCTCCCTAAAACCTTTAGAAGCAGATCTTTGCGGGTCACCAGGGCAAGGGAGCAGTGAGGACGGTCCTGGAGAGAGGGGGACCTCTCTCTCGGGATGGTGACAGCATGCGCCTGCCCATGGCCACCGTGAAAAGGAGGCTGCACACTGTTCTGTGGTGCCCATGACTCTGTTTCTCTGGGGCTGAGTACTGTGAGTAGCAGCGGGCCCGAGAGCCCGTGGCCGGCCCGTGTGGCTCGCGTCCCCGCGCGCAGGCGAGCTGCTGGCCCGGCCGGCGGGGGTGAGGCGCGGGGGTGAGGCGGCCCTCGCCACACGCAGCCTCCCCGTCTCTCTCTCTCCTGCCCACAGCTCCATCCTGAACCTGCCAGGGGAGTCCACGCTGCGGCGGGACTTCCTGAGGCTCCAGCTGGCCAACAAGGAGCGTTCGGAGGCCCTGCGGCGGCAGCAGCTGGAGCAGCAGCAGCGGGAGAACGAGGAGCACAAGCGGCAGCTGCTGGCCGAGCGCCAGAAGCGCATAGAGGAGCAGAAGGAGCAGCGGCGGCGGCTGGAGGAGGTGAGGGCCCGCTGGGGCTGCCACGCGCGGACGCGCGCGGGCACCTCTCGGCCGCAGAGCTTCCTGGGTGTGCAGCGTTGTGCTGGGCTCTCAGCCTTGTGGGACTCGTGGCCCGCTGGGAGCACACACCTGAGCTTGTGAAATGGGATGAGGCCTGGGCGCTCTCACAAGCAAAGGAATTCCCTTGCTAGGCAGGGGGTGGCCGTGTGACCTTGGTGTGGTCACCTTGGAAAAGCAGGTAAAGGCCTTCACCCCTTCAAGTCTTACTCAGATATCACCTCCTCGGTGCAGCCTCCTTGGCCACCTTTCTTCAAATTGCACCCCCTCCCTCTAGCTCATCCTGTTGCCCTTCCCCACCTTATTATTTTTACATAGCTCTTTCCATCTTTACACACACTCTCTATGTACCTTCCTGGGTTTTAAACTGCAGTGTGAGCTCCTGAGGACAGAGGGTTTTGTCTCTTTCATCCCTGATGTATCTCTCCATCATGTATCTCCAGCGCCTAGAACAGGGCCGCGCACACGGTAGATGCCTCGTGGATATTTGTGGCATGAACGAACCCATATAGGAATAAACGAGTCCGTGATTGAGAGGGCCTATGTAGGTGTCAACTAGACCGCAGTGACTAGGCAGGCAGGTGAAGTGTCAAGTATGGAAAAGCAGGGTCTGCCTTAGCTACTCCGCTGAACACTGGGGAAAGCACGGCCCAAGGCTTTCCACACACCCTTTAGTATTCAGGGCCTGTCCTCCAGCTGGAGGGCCACCCTGGCCTTCACCGGCGGGCACTGTGGCCATCTGTGTAGGCAACCGTAGCACCAGCCACGCTTTCCCGGGGGGCTTGTCCCAGGTGAGGCCCTCACCTTTGTGGCCTTGTGGCCACCTTCCTTTGTCGGATAAATCAAAGCCTCTAGACAGTTAGGCAGCTGAGAGCATAACCACTGGGAAAGCCGGATGGCAGATGAGAGGATAACCAACGTCACAGGAATGGGGTAGCCATTTTACAGGGTTCCCAGGCGCCATCTTGCTCCTCATTAACAGTTCACGGCAATTCACTTGCTTTGTCAGGTGCCGCTGCAGTTCGAAGCTGGCAGATTGCGGGCACCAAGAGCAGATTGCTTTTCAATTGGCCCATCTAGGTCCAGCAGCCCTGGTTGAAATCAGTGAGGGCCTCCGTTCCAGTGTGCAGTAAAATCCCATCAACCTCATATATCCTTATAGACAGACCAGCAACAACAAGACCCAACAGTTGCAATTATTTTTTTTTTTTTAAGATTTTATTTATTTGTCAGAGAGAGAGGGGAAGAGACAGAGAGAGAGAGAGCACAAGCAGGGTGAGTGGCAGGCAGAGGGAGAAGCAGGGAGCCTGATGCCGGACTCAATCCCAGGACCCTGGAATCATGATCTGAGCCAAAGGCAGCCAATTAACTGAGCCACCCAGGTGCCCCAACAGTTGCAGTTATTAAGTGACTTCTGTGCACCAGCTCTTGGGTGAGGTTCTTTGCTTATATCCAGGATCTCATCTACTATCATTCTCTCTTTGCATACAGCCATTGCCCCTCATGCAGAATGCATACAAACCCCGCTTAACACACAGGAAACTGAAGTTCAGGGAGGGGAAGTAATTAGTCCCATGTCCCAGGGCCAGTAAGTGCACAGTGTTCGCACCCGGGTCTGTCTGATCTCGATGTCCACACAAGGCCCAAGAAGGGAAGTATAGATAAGTAATCAAAGCCTTGAACTGTGATCCTCAGAATTGGACCTTGCAGCCTTCTGCAAACAGCAGTAGGCAAGTGAAACACTTTCCAGTTTGAGTTTATAAGTCTGTCGTATTGTCAGCGTGAAGAATGCTCAGTGCGTGAGAAGTGTGAAGTTCACTGTCTTCTATTCTGAGAATGATGCTGTAGTAGACGGAGTCCCCATAGTGCTGTGGGGCAGAGACCTTCAAAGGCCCAGGCAGAGGCAGTGTGAAGGGAGGGGTGGGTGCTAATTCGGCAGCTCTCAGAAGTGAGGCTCAGAGTGCCGCTGTGCCCATGCCCACCCCACCTCTGGTTCCTCTCCTGGGCACAAATTGAAATTCCTGGCAGCTGCAGCCCAGCCAGGCCAGTTGGGGCCAGTTGGGGCCAGTTGGGGTCTCTTGTACGAGCCCTCGACCCAGAGCTATGCCATTTCCTCTAGTTCTCCTATGAACCAGATGCCTCCGTTGGCTAGACCCCATGTTTATTCCTTTAGACTCTGGTCACACCTCTCCCCTCACCTAAGCAGTGTCCTATCAGGCTCTGCCCCCCACATCCTGCCTTTCCTGCTTTGTTGCTTGTGGTTTGTTCCTTCCAAGAGTATTTCCAAAGGCCGCCACCTCCCTGGAGCCTCACACCCTGCAAACCTTGACCATTTGCCTTAGTTAGTGGGCTCCTTGCCTAGCAATTTGTTACCCTTACTTTCAAGCTAAAGGCACTTACCGTGTAAACCCTAGAAAATCCCCACTGTCACCCCACAGAACATTTCAAATACTCAAGAATGCAAATATGCCCGTGCATGCACACATGCACTTTTGGCCCTTGAGCCTAGATCCTCAATTAATGCAGTCTTTTCAGAGGATGCATTGTATTGTTTTGTATTGTTTTGTTTTGTTTTGTTTTGTTTTAATCTATATTTTTGTCTCTTCTTACCTGATACGATTTATTTGGGCTTTGTATGTTTTCTCATCAAGTTGCTAAAATAACAGTTTCTAACACTTTCCAAAGCATTTACCCTACGACAGGTACTCTGTTCCACACTTCACCTGAATCATCTCATTTGATCCTCACAATAACCCACAGTCTCAAAATAATGCAGCCGAGTCTCAAAGAGGTTAATAACTTGCTACAGATCACACAGCTTGGGGGAAAAACAGGTTTCAAGCCCAGGAGATTGGACTCCAGAGCCCAAGCACTGTCACTGCCTCCATCCTGCCTCTCAGCTGATAAGCCAGTCATGTTTTCCCATATTCTCTACCTGGCCTCTGCTGTTGTGGTCTTTTCCTCTGAGAACTTAAGGATTTTTGAGCAAGGGCAAAGAAGCAGCACCCAGCAGGTGCTCTTTTTTGACATGGATTCTGGCTCTCATGCTCCCCATCAGAGCTACCTCCAAGGCCTCCTTGTGTCTCTTCTGTGGCACTTTCTGGAACCTCTGTCTTGGAGGCGAGTCAGAGTTCAGACTCAGCGAGGCACACGCATCCACGGGGACATGCCCTCCGAGTGCCCACTTGCACTGAAGACAACAGTGTGCCCAAGGACGCTTCGATTTATGCACCAGCCAACATGCATGAGCCCTGGTTTCTCATCAGTCACTTGTGACCACGGGATATTAAGAGATTATACCGCTTTATCTATTGATCCTTCATCTTGCTCCTATTGCCCACTGAGATGAAAAAGAAATACTGAACACTCAGATGGCTATAATTTTTGAACCTTTAAGTAATAACCGTCTCTGTCACCAGGGACCCCTCTCCTGCATCCTGCCCCTGATGGATCCCCACCCATGTCTGCAGCTCTGGCCCATGGTGACGACTTGTGTTTGCTGTGTCCAGAGTAGAAACTTGATGTACCCTGGCATATGGAGGCAGTTAAAGCCCACAGTTAGACTTGCAAACTTAGCTTCCTTGTAGGTCAGGTGGGCTTTTGTAGGCATCCTGGGAAAACCATTGCCATTCTCAAATAAAGGCCCGTCAGATGCCCCTTTGGTGACACAGGGCTGTGTAGATTGTAGCCTTTGTCTTCCCCGGCAATCTCAGATGTCACCTCCTACCAGAGGCTTGGTTTTTAAGGAAGTCCTGCATGTCCTTTCCTAGTTATGGATAACCATGTGGATTTGGGTAGGGTCTAAGTCAGTATCTGTATATTCTTAGAAGGACTTCGTACACTGAACATAATTATTGATCAGCTACATGAAAAGGACATGGCTTTGGACCAATGAAATGTTGGGTATAAGACTTTCAGCTTTTGACCACTGATAAAGCACAATTTATAACTAAGTTCCAGGAAATTGATTAAACCTAGCTAAGATGAATGAGTCCATCAACAGTGAGGAAAGTACAAAGAAGGCCTCTTTTATTTTTATTTAGTTCAATAAAAATTTCTATCACTTGGCCTACACAAAATCCCTCTTGTTTTATTCTCCATCCACAGAGTTAGGGTCCAAGAATCAGGGGCAGGATGCAGGAGAGGAGTCTAAGAATCAGTAGGGCATTTACCCTGGTCATCTTTTCAGACAGAACCTTGACCAGAAGATTTGTGGTGATGCTTAACTGTGCTCAAGAGTTTGGGAATGATTTTAGTGATTTATACGTTTTTTTTTTTTTTCAACTTGCTGAGAGCATTCTATGCCTTCATCTGGAGGAGAATATCTTTAAGTCACAGGAATAATCAAATTGACCCCACGGGCACCAAACTGCTCGATGGTGGTAAGCTTTATTCTTCAGACACCTGCATCTCATTTAGTGTCCTTCAAGACTGTCATGACATTGGCCAGTTACAGAAATAGCCAATTCTAGCTAAAAGATATTATAACTGCTTTAGTTCTATTGCCTGAAAAAACATTTTAGAGAAATAACCACCAGTATCTTATTGGCCAGTCATAGTGGAGCACTAATATAAAAAATGAGAGCCTAGCAGTCTCAATGTGTGTGAATTCCCTAAAAGCATCTAACTTTTTATGGTGAGTGGCTGGGCTTTCAAGGACACTGGGTTCAATGCTTTTTTAAAAAGGGCACAGTAGAATTTAAATCTTTTTCCTATTCCTATAGGCAGTCATTTGACAAATTTCATGAATTCATACCTCCGCTATGCTGGACACTAGGAAAACAGTCTGCCCTGGTGCTCACCAGATCTGTAAGGGAAACAGGCACTGGGCCAAAAGTCACCCACATAGCCATTCATTGTCATTGCCAGGCTGCTGTGGTAGAGAGGAGTGACGGGCTAAGGAACGAACTTGGGGAAGGTGCGGGGTAGAGAAAGCAGCCCAG